CAAGAATATTTTAATTTCTTAATGTTACTTAAATTTGACTCTTTGAACAACCTAAAGCAACTGAGTCAATAGTAATTTTAAATGATACTAACGAGAACTATTTGCGAAATAACAGTACATTTTAAGAAGCTACCCCTATAGGAATAAATTCTGAAGAAATTGCAAAAACAAATCTAGATAGAGTACCTCATTCACGAATGCTTAATTTTCATCAAGAATTATTTAATCTGAATTTCATCTTACCTTCAGGGGGAAACACTTCTTTCCAACTCATTCTGAATCCTTAGTTTGGAGTCAAACTGGCAGGATGAAAATGGTCCTCAAGTAGGGGCTGGGACACTCATTAGCATTCTAGGTCAGCTGTCTGAAGATTAAGAGATTTGCAGTTACCAGCAACAGGAACAGGTTGGAAGCAAGAATTTAAGTAGTTCAGGAGATGTCAGCAAGTGTCAGTGATGCAGAAGAAAAATCAATATTGAATCAAGAGTTTGTGCTGGGTGCTAAGGGTTGGGGGTGGTGGGTATTAGCGACAAAGATACTTACAGTCATGGAAAGTAAGGGAACATTCACTGAGACTCTGCCATTTTTCAGGCACAGGAATAAATGCTTTAATTACTTCATTTAATCCTCCTAACTTTACTGAGTAGCAATCATTTCATAATGAGGATAGAAGCTAATAGACATTGAACAACTTGGCCAAGAACACACATACAGTGAGAGTCTAGATTCTGGTTTTGCTTGCCTTCAAACCTACACTCCTTCCACTGTACCATACGGACAAGGGTTAGGTATATGGAATTCTGGAAATGCATGAGTCTATATTAGAGAATACAGAAACCTTGCTTTACCGTACTCAAAAGGCATTAAGAGATGTGATTTAGAGCATGCTTGTGACAGGAACAGTTGCTTTTTGATCTTCTAGGAGAGGGAAGGAGATTTTAGGTATTTGTGCATGGAGAAACCAGGCTTGGAAGACAGCTACAATCCATCTGACCTGAGAGGGAAGCTCCTGTTGAGATTGAGCTACTGCAGTCAAGTGAGGGAGCTATGAGAAAAGCTGTCTGAGTCCTTGGTAGGGATGAAGGGAGTAGGGGTGGTGAGGGCTTTGAGAAGTGTCTGTGCTTCTTTTTGTGATTATGGTTGCCACCCAGAGGCCGCACTGTCCCCCTTTAGTGGCTCCAGTTCTTAATCAGTCTGCAGACCCTTGTAGGCCTAGGGATGCTGACAGCATCTTGCTATTGCTAGTCTCTGGGTGCCTCAGCTTTCCTTATTGATTCCCTTAACCCTTGCTGCTTTGTTAAAAAGCCTCTTCAAAAGTCACAGTTGAAGATGCAGCCTCATTCCTGCTGGATGTGCCTGTTAGAGCAGAGAAAGCAGAAGTCAGCGCAGGCCAGCAGCTGAGTCACTGAGGTTAGCACGACCCCCTTCAGCAGGCAGATGGAGTCCAAAGTCCAGAGATCTGGTAGCAGGCACCAGACAACTAAAGACAGGATATCTAGGCAGTGTCTGCACAGTAGGCATTGAGGGTGCCAGGCTTTTGGCCACAAGTCAACATCTTCCCAAGTGGAGCTTATTTATATGCTTCCTTTTGGTGGCCCAGATTGGTCTTAATATATGTGTGTGTTGGGGGAAGGGTGAGAAGTAGGGACTAAGGCTGCTCTGTACAGAATCTTGAGAGGGGAGGCCTTTGGACCAACACACACTGTGCTTAGCAAAACTAATTCCTGCTCACTAAACCAGAAGTTCTGAACTATGGGTAGGGTGTCAAGGAGATTGTTGTGCATGTGTGCTTTTTCCTCAGGTGCGGTACATGTGTGTATGTCTATGAATTCCCTCAAAGATAAATAACAAAAATAATAACAGCCAACATTTATGAGTGCTTGCTAGGTGTCAGTCAGTGTTCTGAGTGCTTTACTTACATCGGCTCTTTTAATCCTGGCAACAGCTCTATTAGGTGGGTACTAACATTATGCCAGCTTTCCAGATGACACTGACACAGAGAGATGAAGCCAGAGGTCTCAGTCAGGAACCCTGTGAGTGGGGAAGAACCCAGGTAGTCTGGTTCGAGAGTCTGTTGTACCCCCCCCCCCCCAACACACACCATACTGTCTCGGCTCCTGACTGGACTTGTAAGAGGAAGAGCATTCGTGTGTGTTTTGCATCTTCACGTTCTCAGAACCTAGCACGATGCCTGGCACGCAGTAGACGCTTCATAGTTAATTTGTTGATTCAAGGAATGAACTTTGGCTAGGCAGAGGCGGCGAGGACCGGGGCAAGCCCCAGCCACCGGCAGCCAGGAAGGGGAAGAATGCCAGCTTTCTCCCGTGGGACGGCGCCGCGAGCCCACCCCTTCCCGACTGCAGCCCTACCTCGACCAGGCCCTCAGCTGGGCTGGTTTACATCTGCACCAACAAGGAAAGGCATAGCAGGCGGCGCCCTGAACAAACCAGAAAAACGGCCCTCCTCTGCTCGGGAGCCCACGGCAGGGCACAGCCACGGCTGCCCTGCCCTGCAGGAGCGAGGGCAGCCTCCCCGGCCGGCCGGAGCGCGAGACATTCGTCGCCGCACCGCCCCCCGCCTCGGCCCCCGTCGCCCCTTCCCCTCTCCCCTCCCCTCCGCTCCCGCCGCCCGAGGTCTACCCGGCGCGCCCCGCCCGGTGGGTGGAGTGTGGGGCGGGGAGGCCACCCTGGACTCTCACCCGCAGGTGTCCGGGTCCTGCCTCCCGGCCGAGCGGCTCGGTCCTCCTCTGCCGGCCCATGGCAGCGGGCGCGCTGGAGCTCTCGGTGCTCGAGGGGCAGCCAGACGAGCAGACGCCTCTCAATGGAGCCGTCCGGGTCGAGGAGCCCTGCCCAGCCCAGGTAAGGTCCCCGCGGCGCCGGCGGGATCGCAGGGGCTGGAGTTTCGGGTTTCCGGGCAGCCGTCGGGCGCCGCAGACGCCGAGCCCCGCGAGGGTGGTGCGCGCCCGAGTCTTCTCATGGAGCCCAGCCACGCGAATGCCCTTCGGACGGAGCCCGCCCTGCCCCGCCGGCCCCCGTGGCTCTTCAGGAGTCCTAGTGGGGAGGTGTGGCCGCTCCAATCTTCAGAGAGAGTCCCCAGAGATAGAGGTGGCTTTTTAACAAGTTATGCGATTTTTTAGTTTTTTCTTTTTCAAGTAGGGAGAAGGAGCGATAGATGGAGTCTCCTTGTCTTCGGCGTCTCTTCTGCGTCCCTCTTACCTTCGCGGCCTTGCCACTTCCCCGGTCCCCTCCCCAGCCATCATCCCCCTCTCCCCTCCACCCAGGCTCACATCCCCCATCCAGGCTCACCAGCCCCCAGACGAACACTTCCTGCCTTCTCCCAGCCTGGCCATTTGATTCCGCAGGAAGAGAGATAGGGGAGAAAGCAGCAAGGACGAGAAGGGCTGGGGTGGCCGGGGGGGTGAGATGGGGGTGAACCTGCCCTGCTCAGTTGAAGGGACATAATTTCAAAGTTCTTGTCCCAGAGGACTACACTAGCCTCATTTGCTTTGGTCTCTTCTCAATCCTTAGAGAAGTCCCTGGTGGTGTTTAGGCTGAGCTCTTACCTTAGCAGTGATGGGAACTTCATTCACTCTCATCAAACGCTTGTAAAACATCAGAGGCTTTGAGTTCTAAGCCATCCGCCTTCTGATGAACCCCTAAGATTGGCTTGAGGTTTACTGGCTACAGGGAGCTCCCCATATACCTGGTTCCAACCTGGTCTTTCTAGGCCCCACTCCTACACCCCCATCCCTTTGGCTGCTCAGCTGTTGATTTCAGGGATAAGCAGGAAATTCAAAACTTGAAAGCTTTGGCTTTACATCGATTCCTGGAAATACTATAAAGTCTGCTTTCTCTGGAAAGTAATTTGGTACCTTATCTTTGAATGAAATAAACACCACAGAAGAATGAAGGTTGGGCAGATGATCCGATTTCCAGTGCAAGTGGCCACAACCACGGACTTGCTGTACATCCATACATCCTCCAGGCATGGGAATTGGGAATAGTCACCTCATGTTAGACAGACCTGGGACACCCCAAAGACTCCATGGTGTGGGACTGAATCCAGAGATGGGAATTCTGGTTACAGTTTCACCATTAAAAGGTGTGTTCCAGGTGCGGGGGTGTCAAACGGTGGTAATGCCATGTGACCAGCCAGGCTTTTATGAGGCCTGGGAATGCCTTCTTGAAGACATCTGAGGAGTAATGCCAAATCTATGTAGAGTATCAGTATTTTATAATTGTTTACCACCTGCCCTGTAGAGATTGTTCTTTTATGTTCTGATGACTTCCTCATTAATCAGGTATATACAGGTATCCTAGACTTCCTCAAACGTTAGCTTCATAGGTCACCAAATAGGAAAGCTGTGGTGAGTGACAGAATGGAGTGAAGGTGAAGGGCTACACGAGCACTTGGACGGCATTCTAGAAATGCTTCACAGGAAAAACTTTTGAAAAGGGAATAAAACCCCTCGCTTAATGTGTTAATCATTCTCTTTGGTTCTATAGAATAAATTGAAGTGTACTTCAACTTGAAAAGTCAGTTATTGTAGCATCTTTAAAAGTATTGGCTAGCACAAGCACAGGATTCAGACACTTCAGAATTTTGTGTGTAGGTCTCCTTGAACTGTGTATTAAGATTTCCATTTTTGGGGCCAACCCCGTGGCGCACTCGGGAGAGTGTGGTGCTGGGAGCGCAGCGACGCTCCCACTGCAGGTTCGGATCCTATATAGGAATGGCCAGTGTGCTCACTGGCTGAGCGCGGTGTGGGCGACACCACACCAAGGGTTGCGATCTCCTTACCGGTCACGAAAAAAAAAAAAAAGATTTCCATTTTCGAAATGTAGTTTAAGTCCATGTATTTTCATGAGCCATATGTGTTGCCCCTTTCATGTGTCAAATACCTGTGATATATAAACGCATTTAGTTATCACAACAAACTTAAGAGAAAGTTGTCGGTATTCTGATTTGACAGATGAAAAAACTGATTGAAGAAACTGAGACACGGGGAAGCTATCAAAATGCTCAAGTTCACTCAGTGGTGCCTCTGAAGTTCGAACTCAGGTGTTTTAGGTCTCAAACCTATGCTGTTCCTGTTGACTTGTTTTATCATCTGTCTATCTGTCTATCTACATATAATTTAAATACATAAATATCATATATAATTTATACTCATTTATAGTTGCCTACATTATAAGTTATATATTACTCATTTCTATAAGTTAGGTAATTTATAATTAGGTAACTTAAGTGCAATGTGACTTGCTGAGTAGCACATCTGGAATAATGAGGGAGTTGGAGGTAGGTGGGTGAGGGGTGGGGAACACTCTGGGATCACTGGGAAGAAGACTTCCCCTGTCACAGGTATATTCCTGCTTGTCAGAGCTGGACTAGGAGAGTATACGAGTGCAGGGGGAAGAACTTCTTTCCCCTTTTTGATCTGGGTTTGGAGCTTAGGGGGAACTCTACTTTGCCTGCCGTCACTCTGCACATGGCAATATCGTTGGGTCAAAAGTGAAAAAGAAATTGTGAGTAATAGAGTGAGACTGGTTTTTTATGGTTCATTACAGGGGCTCTGACTCAGTTTTCAAATAGAAGTCCCAGAGACATTTTAACTGATGGCAACATCATTAGAATAATAAACTAGTAAATTGATAGTTTTCAGGCAGGCAAGACTTCGTTGAGTGAGCTAGCTAAAAATTAGCCCCATGCTACAGATTGTGCAGTTTAGGGCAAGAATCAACTGGCTTGTTTATGCTCGGATCAGAAAACAAGTGGATTAAATTCCATCAAAAAGAATATAAAGTATGATTTTCCTACATGCTGAGAAATTTTTCCCTGATCTATATAATATCTGCTCCTGATTAAGCCAAAGAAAAGAAAAGCTTTTTGGATCCAAGAGATTTGTTGTCCTGCTATTGTTGCAAGATCCTGTGTCATGTATTTAGACCTTTACCTAAACAGGGTTGTGAATATCTGAGAAAATGTTCAGAGAAGAGCCACAAAAATTCTTGAGCCATACAATGCAATCATAGAATGTAAATGTAGTTTGCAAAATAATTACAAAATAATTCTCTGGAATTATTTTGCAAGGAAGGCACCTTGCAGAAGAACCTGCCAAGAGAGAATGAAGAAGCTAGTGTGTCTTCATGATCCAGTTTTGAGAGGAGACTCGGATAGCAGAGGTAGCACATACCTGTTACATTAGAGGTTCTTCACCCTCAGGGCACACTGAAATCTTTTCAGGGCACTTCTAAAAAATACTAATTCCTCAGATGCGTCTAATGTGCATACAGCTGAGAAGTACAGTGCTCTGTTATTTGGTTTGGCAGGTTGCTTTGTAATGACTGAAAGTCTGTGAAGATGAATCATTCAAGGAGGAGTGGCCAGTGGTCTCGCTCTTTGGGCTGAGGCCAGGACAGTGAAGGGCACCAGGCCATCAGATGGCAGCTTTGAGCTGGACAGGAAGAGGCATTTCCTGCAGATGAGGGATGTGTAATTCTGAGCTGAGTTTCTCCCGGAAGTCACAGAGTAATTAGTGGTCTTTTCAAACCACGGAGTCCTAATTTATGACCTCTAAGGGACAGCATAAGTGAAGGCACAAGAGGCCAGAGAGATGCACTGATGCTCATTCTGTGGCTCCTTGAGGCTCCAGATCATTTTCTTTTGTGCTAATTTTTATGATCCTGGTCCCACCTGCCTCCTGTATAAAGGCTGGAAACAGCACGGGGTCATGTTGGTCTCAGGAGCTCTGTAAGTGGGGAGATATTTTTCTGTCCCCTGAGAAGTTAAAGATTCCTTGTACTGGCTTTCTTTTTTTCCCTATGTACCTTATTGAGCCCTTGGCTTTGGTGACTTTGGAGCAGTTTTGCAGTCTTTGAGTGGGGGTGAGTGGTGGCCCTATCCCTGGACTCCAGAAACACTTAATTCGAAAGGGTTTTCCTCTGTCCATATATCCCCAGGGCCTTTACTGCTCCCCTTACACTTAGGCTGGGCCTAAGGGCCAGTGTAAAGTGTAGTTGGGGGCTCCAGCGTTTGACCTCTTCTCTAGAATTTCTCAAAGTACATTCTTAAAATTTTTGAAGCCCTCTGCAACTAAGTAACACACATTTATTGAATGCCTATTACCTGTGACATGGAACAGGGAAGTTCAGGAGCCACCCCTCCCTCTATGTGGTTTCAATTTATCTAGGAAGATAAAACCAGTCTCTGTTTGTATTTGGTTTTTTTTTGGTTTGTTTGTTTTTTTAAAAAAGATGACCAGTAAGGGGGTCTTAACCTTTGACTTGGTGTTGTCAGCACCATGCTCTCCCAAGTGAGCTAACCGGCCATCTCTATACAGGGATCCGAACCCTTGGCCTTGGTATTATCAGCATCACACACTCCCAAGTGAGCCACGGGCTGGCCCTCTGTTTGTATTTGAACATGAAACCAGACAGTGCAGTCAGCAGCAGCAGCAGCAGATGAGCTTTGTGGGCAGCTGACTGAGGGCGGGTGGGAAGGGAGGCTTGCACTAAAGGGGAGATTGACCTGGCTCCTGTGGGGGCCTTCAGACCGGAAGTCTCAACCTTGGTAAAGCAATTGATTCACTTTGGGAGGTTTCAAGTTACAAGCCAGGGTCTGCTCCCACCTCCCCTGCAATCTGGTCCACTAGGTGCAGGTGGAGGCTGAGGTAGGTGCCAGTTAAGATCCTCCCCAGGGGATTCTGATGTGCAGCCAGGCCTGGGAACCCCTAATTGAGAACGTTTGAAATGTCATCCTAGTGTGGACTACCAGTTTGTTTTTCTGATGGCCATCACCAAAATAAGGATGGGACAGAAAGTAAACAGGGTACCAGCCACTGCTTTGTGGGACAGAACACCCTGAGTAATGGCTAAGGAGTGATTGCTCCTCTTGGTTGAGCTCCTAATATTTGTTAGCAGATGCTCTGTTTACACTCTCTACTTTTTACAATAGCCCCGTGAGCTGTTAGTATTTACATTTTGAAGCTGAAGACATTTGGGCCTGCGAGTTTCAGTAGCTTGCTTAAAGTCACTCTGCCTTTAAGGAATATACCTGGGATTGGCACCCAAGTGTGTCAGATACAGAAACACATTCCCCCCCCCCCCCCAAAACCCCTTTTTTTTCCATAGTCTCCATGTAGGACTTACCTAACAGGAAGTAGAGTCAGGGAGCCATTTAGGAGCAGGTGGAGGCTCTGGGGCGGAGGCCCTCATGGCAGCCAGGCAGCTCATAACCTGGAGCTCTATGCAGTGATGCCCGGAGGCTGTGGACAAAAGGGAGAGTGCAAAGGTTTTGCAGTGACACACAACAGGGATTAGTCCTGGCTAATTCCCCTAAACTAAATCTTTGAAATGGGCTAATGCACAGGCTGAAGGGCTCTTAGGATCAAGTGAAACAAAGCTGCTGCTCAACAAACCATAGAGGTTGTAATTGTTTTTTTGGCCCTTCACTCTGCCTTATTTTACCCATTACAGCTTATTTCCTACTGTCTTTTGCATCTGTCTCTTCATTTCCCTTTTCAGGCTTTTGTTTGTTTTTGCATAGATTCTGGGCTACAGCAATAGCCTTTTAGCTTTTTCGTGCTGTTTCCAATCCAAACTACACATCGTTTTTCTCTTACATTCATCTCAACTCTTGTGTTGCAAAACCTTCAACAAGTCACCAGAGCACAGCCAAATTAAGTCCAAACTGTTCTGGCAGCAATCAAAACCCTCTGGAGTATGCTCCAGCCACTCACCCTTTGATCTTAACTTTCATTTCTTGCCCCTGAAGCCCACATTCCAGTCATTCAGACTAGGCTGTTGGGCTGGTCCATGACTAATCAACACTGTGGATGCTCTTTCCTGAGTTTGGAATGCCTTCCAAAATCCATCCTTCAGATCCTGCCTGTCATCCCCACCTAGGAGCCCTCAGAACATTTACTTGCAAACTTCTTTGTGGGGTTCCATTCTGCCCTGCTATATCTTTTTATAAAACTTGGTTCAGTAGAGTGTAGCCCCTTGAGCTCAGGATCCTGCTGTTTTCATTTCTGTATCACTGGCCCCTTGTAGGTACTCAGACATGTTTGTTATAACCGAATGATTGTCTCACAATCTCCCTTTACTTTCTAGGCTAGCAAGGAAAGCCCCTGGAGCTCCTGTAATAGAAATTTGGTTGGAAAATGTAAACTGTGGATGGTCATCGTCTCTGTCTTCCTAGGTCTCATTATAGTGATCGTCATAAGCTTATGTCTTACTGGAGGTAAGAGGAGTTAAACATGACTAAGGCGACACATCTGAAGAACTTGCTTAGTGCTTGTGACTTACACTGAAATGGAAGATATACTCATTGCTATTTTGTTATTTATAACATGAATGTAAAATTGGCTTGGAATAAGTTGCATGGGTGGGAGATGATTCTTGTTTTTTGTTGTATTTTGTTTGTTATTTGTTTTATAAGCTCCAGAAGAAGTATGGAGACCAGTGTTTTAGTTAAAACTCTGCTTAGTGGATCTTGAAGAGGTTTCTTAAATTTTTAACTTATTCAAACACTAATTTTATATTTTATTACATCTTGATACCTGCTTGTTTGAAAATTTTTTTTAACTGTTTATTGTATCTGTGATGTATGGTGTGTATAAAACAAGCACTTACATGGTACTAACTGTATATTTTACATATATTATCTCATTTTATTATTTATTTTGAATTTAAAAACAATACATTGTCAGTTACCCATAGAATCCATTTATGTTATGAATATTTTGTTATACTTTCTTCAGTCTTTTTCTAACTTTTTTTTTTCTTTTTTGGTGACCGGTAAAGGGATCGTAACCCTTGGCTTGGTGTCACCTGCACCGTGCTCAGCCAGTGAGCGCACCGGCCATCCCTATATAGGATCCGAACCCGCGGCCTTGGCGCTCCCAGTGCTGCTGCACTCCCAGCACCACACTCTCCCGAGTGAGCCACGGGGTCGGCCCTTTTTTCTAACATTTTTAGAGTAATTTAAGATCATATTTGTATATAGTCTTATGGCCTACCTTTAAGATTTTAATGTTATATTGAGATCATTTTGCCACATCATTAAGAATTCTTTGTCAACATCATTTTTTTCAGACTGTGTGATATAGTTTTCCATTTCATTTTTAAGCCTTCTAGTTACCGATTTTTTTATGATTATCGATATTATTACAGTTTTTATAATGCATAAATATAGCACCCTCCAATGGGCAGTCATTTCAGTTTTGAAACAGGAAAGAAGAAATTGTTTCTATCTGTATGTGGGGGTGATGGCACAGAGGGGCCCATCCGGAGCTGGGATACTCCTGAGGGTGATCAGCCTCCACGAGCATTTGGGTTATCGGGCTCTCAGTAGCAAACCCAGTCACAGAATGAGAGCAAGAATCAGGAGCTCCCAAGGTTTTGTAGTACCTGAAGGAATAGGAAAATTTTGATGACATCAGCCAAACTCTAGCATGTGAGTTTCTCGGGCAGGTGCCACACCTACTTAATTACTTAGGACACTGTTTAGGTGGGATGAATGACTATTTGAGGCCATAAGCTGGTTTTAAAGTAAGAAGAAGCTAATGAGATGTGCTGCACCTCCTGCATTATGCTGAGGACAGTAGGTTTGTGTGAGCATTGATGCTCCTTCTCACATCAACTCCCACATGTGGATTTTGAAACTGAAGTTGAGTCACATGATCTTGTCCTATCACAACTAGTTGATGCTATTCTGAAAGTTGATTGATTTGTCAGTTGGCATCTAGGGCCTCCCACAAAGGATGATCCAACGGACTAGGTGGTTTAATATTCAGGATTCTAAAGCACAAGACCCGAGATCTTGTCTTCCATCCCACCTCTTCAGCTCACAAAGAGCAATCTGGAAAGGAATATTCCATTTTCCTCGACAGTTTTTCTGGAGATACGAAAGGTCATAAGATAATATTCAGGGAATAATTTTTTTTTTTTTTTTGTCTTTTTTTGTCTTTTTCCGTGTCCAGCAACGGATCGCAACCCTCAGTGTTGCCCCCGTACCGGACCGGGGACCGGCAATGGGATCGCAACCCTCGGTGTTGCTCCCGCGCCTCGCTCAGCCAGTGAGTGGGAACCGGTCCGTATGTGGGATCCGAACCCTCGGGCGGGAGCGCCGCCGCGCTTCCCAAGCGGCGCACTATCCAGTGCGCCACCGGGCCGGCCCTCAGGGAAGAATTTTTTAACACTCATAGTGCAAACTTCATTTTTAATATGATTGTAAATTTGTGTTTTAATATATGTTAGTGCTGTAAAGAGAGATTTTTTTTCAATCAGGGAAATACTTTTATTTTACTTGGTATTTCAGCCCTCGGTGTTTGGGCCTGCAGGCAGGGATCCGAACCCTCGGACGGGAGCGCCGCCGCGCTTCCCAAGCGGCGCACTATCCAGTGCGCCACCGGGCCGGCCCTCAGGGAAGAATTTTTTAACACTCATAGTGCAAACTTCATTTTTAATATGATTGTAAATTTGTGTTTTAATATATGTTAGTGCTGTAAAGAGAGATTTTTTTTCAATCAGGGAAATACTTTTATTTTACTTGGTATTTCAGCCCTCGGTGTTTGGGCCTGCAGGCAGAGTCATAGTAGATTGGGGGCAGTGGGGGGATGGGTGCAGAAGGTAAAAGGATGGGACAGGGGCTCACCTCTGTATAGTTTCAGTCTCACCCAGAGCAGCTCTGTGAGCCAAGCCTGTTGATATGAGTCAAATATTTGTAGAAATTCCAGGTACTCTGTGGAAAATGCTTGAGAAAAGGGCAGTGTCGGCAGAGTCAAGCACTGTCTGGATTCACTGAGAGATTAAGGTTCCTCAGGAACTACGTTTGCCATAGTCTCCTGCTTTCCCTTCTCTAAACCCCTTAATCACCTCTCTCAAGGCTCTGTAGTGCCCAGACTGAGGCTTGGAGGCAGAGGTGTTAATAACTTGCAGTTAGAGTGGACACAGAAGAAGACAGTAAATGCATACCAGTACTATTCAGGAGGAGACAATAAGGTACCCAGGGGGGAGGTGTATTTTGTCACTGACATTCTTAAGAATTACTAGCATCTGGTGACAATAAAAGCAGACCAACTTGTAGTTGGTTTTATTATTGTTGCTAATTCTCTACAGACTGTGCACCCCTTATGGCCTGCACCGGGGTGGGCTTGCCCACTACTCTGCCCTCAGTATGCCATTGAAGGGATGGTGAATTCAGTATCATGACTCAGCTTAAGGCATTGAGTAGGGGTTATATACGCTCTAGGGAAAAGAGGTTAATACTCCAGGCTCACAGTTGACATTGACTTTTTTTTTTAAATGGTCAATTTTATGGGCAGAGCCCAAGGAATCCTGTTGGGGCCCAGTTTTGACCCAGTTCTTTAGGGAAAAAGTATTAATCTCTCCTTCTTTCTAAGGAATTATAACTTCTTAGTGAAAAAATCCTTGTTTCTCTCAGTTATTTTCTTTCTGGATAATTTGGAGAACAAGTTGAACATCCTCAAGGGTTTGTTCTTCAGTAATTTGCCCCAGTCAGGGTGGGGAGAGACCCTGAGTAACATGTAACTAGTGGAACTCTTTTTTGGTGTGGGTGAAATATTTTAAATGTGGCAAAACCCAAACTGTGACAAATAGATGGATGCTTAGAAATAAAGTTATAACACTCTGGGGACCCTTATGTGATATCCCCCAGCATGACATCCCCCAGATTCCTGCCTGACCCTTTTAATCTCTTCAGTTTTAGGCCCTTCTGTGAGTAGGAATGCTGTGGTACCGAGATGTAAGTGGGGACTTCCTAAGTGACGCTGTGAATGGATTTGTTTTACCTTTCGGTTGGGAATAAGAGATACATCTTATGATACCACGTGGTCCTGACAGACTGACAGTTTGCACAGGGCAGTGCTCCCTAGTGTAGGGTGTGACTCATGGGAAAATCCTAGGCAGGCAGCATTAACAAGCTGTGAGCTACCAAGGTCCTTGGGAGCAGGAACACAATTAGCAACTCTGTAGACCCAGGACCTTGAAATTTCTTTGCATTTTTTCCTGTCTGCTTGTCTTTCCTTCAAGTCTCTGATGTTTTTCCACCTTACTAAGTCTGACCTCTTTATCTGTGCTCTTCACAGAACACTTTCTTCTGACCTAGAGACCTTCAGTTACTTCCGCCTCTCTCTAAGCATCTTCAGGTTCTTCTCAACTCTTCAAATATGCTAGCATGGTCTCTCCTTCAAAAAAAATTTCCGTCAGGATTCTTCCTACTTCATTTAGCTATTTTTTCTCTCTCCTTTACTGGCAAGTGTGTTCAAAGATGGCGCCTTCCAGCTGTGTCCTCATATGGTGGAAGGGACAAGGCAGCATTCTGGGACCTTTTTTGTAAGGGCACTAATTCTGTTCATGAGAGCTCCACCGTGATGACCTAATTACCTCCCAAAGGCACCACTCCTAACACCAGCACATTAGTGATTGGGTTGCAACATATGAATTTGGGGGGCACACAAACATTCAGACCATAGCATATTCCTTTCTTCAGTTTGCTCACCCTTTATAGTTTCAAGGTGAATCGTGAGACCAGGTTTATTTCATCTCTGCTACCATCCAGTTGTGTAACTTTAGACTAACTCTTTAACCCTCTGCACCTGTTTTCACATTTGTAAAATATAAGTGATTTCTGAATCTGAGTCTATAAATGTAACTTTTTTGGGGGGTGATAAAGTTACTATATTTATTTTATGTGTCTTGAATAACAAATAGTCTTACAAAACCTTTCTATAAAAAGAAATTACATTTCTAAGTGAAAATACACCCCCCACACTTGACTATTCATGAAGTCATATTCAGAGTAATAGATTTCATGAAAAATAAATGTCAAATTTACATTCTTCTCTACCAATAGTTGGTATACTCGTATATAAAAATGACATATGACGTATCATTCTTTCTTTTTTTTTTTTTTTTTTTTTTTTTTTTTTTTTTTTCGTTTC